GAGAGATCATTCCATCTTCGGGTATCTTCTTCAATTTCTTTCTTCAGAGACTTGAAGTTTTTTTCATACAAGTCTTTCACTTGCTTGGTTAGAGTCACGCCTAGATACTTTATATAATTTGTGGCTATTGTGAAGGGTATGGTTTCCCTAATTTCCTTCTCAGGCCATTTGTCATTCATATACAAGAGGGCTACTGATTTTTTTTTTTATTAATCTTGTATCCAGCCACTTTACTGAAGGTGTTTATCACCTGTAGGAGAATGGCTAAGACAACCCAGATGTCCATCAATGGAGGAATGGGTACAGAAATTGTGGTATTTTTACACAATGGAATACTACTCAGCAATCAAAAAAGAGGAAATCATGAAATTTGCAGGCAAATGGTGGGATCTAGAAAAGATCATTCTGAGTGAAGTATCCCAGAAGGAGAAAGACAAACATGGAATATACTCGCTCGCTTATATAGACCTAAAAGATATGATAAACATAATGAAGTCTATACACCTAAAGAAGATAATCAAGAAAGCGGACATGGGGTATGATGATCAATCCTCATTTAGAAAGACAAATGGGATATGCATTGAACGTATGACAGGAGTCTACCGCAGAAGGCATCTGAAAGACTCTACCTAGCAGTGTTCCAAAGTAGATACTAAGACTCATAACCAAACCCTCGGCAGAGTGCAGGGAATCATATGAAAGAAGGGGAGTTTGATGTGGAAAGGATAGGAGCTCCACAAGGATCAAACATATCTGGGCACAGGGTCTTTTCTGAGATGGACACTCAACCAAAGACCATGAGAGGATAAAACCTAGAACCTCTGCTTGGATGTGACCCGTGATAGCTCAGTAATCAATTGGTTTCCCATAGTAAGGGGAACAAGGACTATTTCTAACAGGAACTCAATGACTGGCTCTTTGGCCTCCCCACCTCCCAAGGGAGGAGCAGTCCTGTTAGGCCACAGAGGAGGACTTTGCAGCCAGTCCTGAAAATACCTGATAAAACCGAGTCATATGAAAGGGGAGGAGGTCCTCCCCTATCAGTGGACTTGGAAAGGGGCAGGGAGGAGATGAGGGAGGGAGGGTGGGACTGGGGAGGGAATGAGGGATACAGCTGGGATACAGAATTAACAAAATGTAACTAATGAGAAAAATAAAATTAAAAAAAAAGAAAAAATTCAAGTGACAGCATATGCTGTCTCTATTGCTGGTGGGAGTGTAAACTTCTACAACCATTTTGGAAATCATTCTGGGACTTTCTCAGAAAACTGAGAATAGATCTACCTCAAGACACAATTATACCACTCCTGTGTATGTACCCTAAAAATGCTCTATCATCTAACAAGGACACTTGTTCAACTATGTTTATGGCAGCTTTATTCATAATAGCCAGAATTTGGAAACAACCTAGATGTCCCTCATCCGAAGAATGGATAAAAATGTGACACATTTACACAATGGAATACTACTCAGCTATTAAAACAAGGAAATCATGAAATTTGCAGGCAAATGGATGAAACTAGAAAAGATCATACTGAGTGAGGTAACCCAGAGCCAGAAAGATATGATATATACTCACTTATAAGCAGATTTTAGCCATAAAGTACATGATAAACATACTACAATTCACAGACCCAAAAAAAAGATAAACAACAAGGAGGACCCAAGGGAGGATGCTTAAATCTCCCTTGGAAGGAGAAATAGAATAGAAATTGGAAGTGCTTGAAGAAAGGAAACCAGATAGGAAAGATAGCATAGAAAGAAATGAGAGTGGAGACCAGAACTGGGGTGAGTAGGGTGTGAAGGTCTATAGAGAAAGAGAAACCATGGGCAGGGACTTCTTTGTGACAAGCTGGAGGCCTAAGAGGGTAGTTCTGGGAGGATATGGAGGTGACTCTAGCTGAGACTCCTAGTAGCAAGGGTCATGGAGACTGAACAAGACATGCTCTAACTAGGACAGGACGGATGGGAAAACCAACCCACCCACAAAAACTTTGATGCAAAATTTACCCTGCCTACAGGATGTTTTGGGATAAAGATAGAGCAGAGATTGAGGTAATGTCCAACCAATGGCTGTCTCAACCTGAGACCCACCCCATGGGAGAGAGCCAACCTCTGACATTATTGATAGTCTGCTATGCTCACAGACAGGAGCCTAGCATAGCTGTCCTCTAAGAGGCTCCACCCAGCACAAGATGCAGAGACCCACAGCCAAACATTGGGCAAAACATGAAAACATGAGTCTTGTGAAAAAGTGTGGGGAAGAATAGAAGGGCCTAGAGGTGACAGGAGCTCTACAAGAAGACTAACAGAGCCAACTATCCAGGGCCCAGAGGAACTTTTGGAGACTTAAGCACCAAGTAAGGACCATGAATAGACTGGACCTAGGCCTCCTACACAGATGTAGCATATGGGCAGCTCAGGGTTCATGTGGGTTCCCCAGTAAGGGGAGCCGGGGCTAATTCTGACATGGACTCTGATGCCTGCTTATTAATCACTCCCCTGTGGTGGGGCTGCCTTGCCAGGCCTTAGGGAAAGAGGATGAGCTTAAGTCCTGATATAATTTGATGAACTGTAGGGGTTAGGGGAAGTTCTCCTTTTCTGAGGAATAGGAAGAAGAGAAATGGGAAAAAAGGGAGGGAGGGTGGGACCAGGAGGAGAGGAGGAAGGAGACGATGAGCAGGATATAAAGTGAATAAATTAATTAATTAACTAAAATTTGAGACTGGAGAGAATTGGAGGAGAGAGGAGGTAAATATGATCAAAATATATAGGTGCATGTATGAAATCTCCAATGATAAATTTTAAATGCTGTATTTTTTAAAAGTCATTAAAATAAGGCAACAAAGGGCAATGCTGGTGAATGGCAGGATATGAGGTAAGCTCTATAATAAACTTCAGACCTACTACTGTAAGAATTTCCACAGGACTGGAAAAGGAAGCATCAGCAGAGGCTAAAGATAATGCTAAAGATAACTCAAAGAGAACCCTAAGAGGCTGGTGAGAAAACTGAACTTTGTGGGGAGTCCCTAAAAGAGTACTTCAAGAAAACAAGCACGTGATCCTTACATCAGAGAAGACAAAGAGAGAAAAACATCACTTCCCCCTAAGAAACTATGAAACCCAACCCTAGGATGCAAAAGAAGTAATAAGACTCAAAGCATAATTTAGCAATACAGAAAATTTAATTAAAAAGTTGGTTCTTTAGATCAAAAAAAAAATTATCAAACATGTAGCCAAATTAAACAGGAAAAAGACTCTAATTACTAAAACCAGAAATGATATAGCATCACCATTGACTCTATGTATGTTTAAAAAAATAATAGAATTTTATGAAGATTTTTACATCAATAAGTTTAATAATTTATGTGAAACTGGAAAAATTCTGAGAGATATAGTTATAAAAACTTATTCACACATATAAAAAAATAACTGAATCAACTAAAAAAAAAACAACAAAAACCTGAAAGCATAGTTTAAAACCTTTCCAATGAATAAAACTTCATGCCCAGATAACATTCCACATAATATCTAACAAATATTTCGTAACTGAAATAATAAAATGTGCTTGTGTCATAGAGCAGCACAAGTACAGCAACTCAATTACTCTGCGTGTGGATCAGAATCCAGAGTGAAATGAACCAGCTCTACACAAACACATTCTAACTCTTTCCACTAGGCCAGGGTGGTCCTAATGTCAAAGTCAGGGAAAGATTTTTGCAAAACAAACTCATTAAAATATGAAATGAATTATATCGGCCAAATGGAATTTGTTCCAAGAATACAGAGTTGGTTTCAATATGTATCACCATATTTTAAAAAAAAAGGAAAAACAAATCCTAATCTCAGCAGATGGCAAAAAGCATTTGTGAAAGTCCAATGCCTATTTAAGATCTTAAAAAAAGGAATGCTTAGCAAATTTGAAATTGATAGCAAAATGAAAAACTTAAAGGTAACATTTTACCTAATATTGAAAGACTGAATACATTCCTCCTAAAAATAACAATGTCTGCTCATATCACTTTTACTTAAAATTATACTAGTGTAACAATTCATATATAAATATATACACATTCACACATGTACACATACATACAAATATACACACATACATGCATACACGTATACATGCACTCACAAACCATCATCAAGTAATCTAACAAAGGATTAGTTTCACTCAAACAAAACATTGAGAGAAAGAGAAAAAAACAATAAGAAAATGAAGACATGAAATCAGACAAAAGAACTAATTCCCACAATTATTGAAAATAATATACATAAAAATTAATTCTGTATGTAAGAACAATCAAAGTAATTAGCTTAGTGATAAGATATTAATTAGGAAATAAATTGAAAAAAGTTAGTGAAAAGAGCATTTGTAATACTGGTTTTGACAATCTAACAAAGTATTCTATGCGCAGCATTTAATAAAACATGGAAACCAAGTTTAAATATAAATATGAGATTTTTAAATTCCATAGCTGAATACTATTTCATAAGTATGAAATAAAAAACAAAGAAGACTATAGCTTCCAAAGCTATAAAATGAAAAAAAAAAAAAAAACCAAATCTCAGAGTTGGAATAGGCCTGTTTGAAAAGTCCAAAGAAAAAAAAAACCCTACAAACTTTGAGAAAGTATCATAGTAATAGAGAAAGCTGTATCAGCACTCTGACATTAATCAGCTGTGTTGCTAAAAGAATCAATCTCAGTCTCTCTGGCACCTATTTTTCATTATCCATACAAAAGACCTATCAATTAATCTCTAAATGTTTTCACTGTGATTAACAGTCAAAGGCTCTGTGATTCTAACTAAATCATAAGCTGACATGAAACAGGAAAGATTACCTTTCACATTCAGTAAAAATTAAAAACTAATTTTATCTAGGATGAGAACAACAGGGATGTTCATTCTTTGGTTTATCTGGAAAGTAATTTCAATTACCATTTTACTTGCAGTAAGCCTAACTACTGGGAAACATTCTAAGGCCAGTACTGTACCTTGTTTGAGCGCAAGGAGACTCGACCTCCACAGCGAGCACAGAACTTTGTTTGGCAATATGAACAGTTATGGCCACATCCATCTGCAAATTTTGTCTTGTGACAGATACCACAGGTAGGGGCGTCACCCTTCTGCTCGTGCTGCTGTTGTGATTCTTCTCCCATCTTCTTTACTTGTTCCTTATACATTTCAAATTGTTGATGCAGTTTTCTGCAGAAAAAGAAAAGGTTTTTAAAAATTGTGATAAAAAAAAATCACAATCCGTGGTCATAATTTTATAACCAAACTACACAGGATAAAAATAAACCAGTATAAAATTTAATTCTATAACTATAGAATAATATCTTGGTCACATGGCATATCACATCATAAATATATTGAAATTAGTTCTCTGATATACATATTAATTATAAAGCAACTGATTATGTTTGTGGAACATTTCCTTGAATACTAAGCTAAACTCTTACCTACTATTATTTTTCAATAGTTTAGCTTCAGAAATACATGAAGCCAATTTTATTGACACAAAGAAGCCATAACCTATTATCTTAAAACCAATGAAACAGAGTCTCAACTGAACGAAACAATCTACACAGAGAGATAAATATGGCTATTCAACAGTCTGAACACAACCTAGCTGTGAAAAGAAAATACTATGAAATATCAGCCTAACAAATGGAGATATGTAAATAAAATTAATGCCACGTATGCTATAGAATTAAATACCAGTGCCTAGAGAGCTATCTCAATACCTAGGAGCATTTGCCCCTCTTCTGGCCAGAGTTTGATTCCCAACCCCACACTGGGTGGCTCGGAATGGCTTGTAACTCGAGCCCAGGTGCTCTGGCGCCCTCTCCTGACCCTTTGGACACGGACGCACACACTTGTGTATACTCACACGCAGTCACACACACATATACATAAATAAAATGAATCAGAAAGAAAACGAGGTTAGGTAAAAGACATCTAGAAAGTTGTTTTATTATTATGATAAACTTTTCTATTGTATTTATGAAGAAAATTTTGTGTTTAAATTACAATTAACGTAAGGTTTACAAAACTGAAAATGATACATTCCAATTCTAACAATGACAAAAGCATTATAATCTACAAATCATAATTTTTAACTTATTTATTACTTATTACAATTTATTCACTTTGTATCCAAGCAGTAAAACCCTCGCTCTTTTCTTCCCAGTCCCACCTTCCCTCCCTCTTCTCCCCCAATGCCCCTCTCCTAGTCCACTGAGAAGGGAGGTCCTCCTCCCCTTCCATCCGATTCTAGACTATCAGGTCTCATCAGGACTGGATGCATTGTCTTCCTCTGTGGCCTGGCAAGGTTACACTCCCCCCCCCACCCGCCAAGGGGAGTTGATCAAAGAGCCAGCCACTGAGTTTATGTCAGAGACAGCCCCTGCTCCCCTTACTAGGATAACCCCATGGAGACTGAGCTACCTATAAGCTACTTCTGAGCAGGGGATCTAGGTCCTCTCCATGCATGGTTCTTGGCTGGGCCCAGATTTTTTGGCTCTGTTGGTCTCCTTGTAGAGCTCCTGTCCCCTCCAGGTCTTTCTGTCTCCCCATTCTTCCATAAGATTCCCTGCACTCTACCCAAAGTTTGGCTATGAGTCTCAGCATCTGTTTCGATACCTTGTTAGATAGAGTCTTTCAGAGTCTCTCTGTGGTAGGCTCCTGCCCTGTTCCCTGTCTTCTCCTGCTTCCAATGTGATGTCTATACTGTTTGCCCTTCTTTTTTTTAATTAATTTATTTTATTATGTATACAATGTTCTGTCTGATGTACAACTGAATGCCAGAAGAAGACACCAGATTTCATTATAGATGGTTGTGAGCCACCATGTCATTGCTGGGAATGGAACTCAGGGCCTCTGAAAGAGCAAGCAGTGCTCTTAACCTCTGAGCCATCTCTCCAGTCCAAATTATTTATTTACTTATTTATTTTTATGTGCATATGTCTGTGTGAGGGTGTCAGATCTTCAGGAACAGCAGTAACAGACAGTTGTGAGCTGCCATGTAGGTGCTGGGAATTGAACCCAAGTTCTCTGGAATAGCAGCCAGTGCTCTTAACCACTAAGCCACCTCTCCAGCCCCCTCTTTGCCCTTCTGAATGAGGATTGAGCATCCTCCCTAGGATCCTCCTTGTTGTTTAGTTTCTTTAGGTGTACATATTTTAGTATGTGTATCCTGTATTATATTTCTAATCACTTACAAGTGGGTATATACCATGTGTGTCTTTCGCTTCTGGGTTACCTCACTCAGGATGGTCTTTTCTAGTTCCATGCATTTGCCTGCAAATTTCACGATTTCCTTATTTTTAATTGCTGAAAATCATAACTTATTTGAGCCCATCAGGAGGGAAGTTATCAGTCAAACAATCTAAGTTCAAAGAACACCAAGTCTAATTTAATTGGTTCATCTTCATCAATTTCATAGAAGGAAGTAGTACCATACTGATAGGTAAAGGAAAATTTTTCTCAATAATTTTGTGGGCTTTTTTTGTTTTTGAGCTAACAATCTCATGTTTCCAAGGATGACCTCAAACTTGCTACATATCCAAACATGACCTGAATGTCTCTGATCCTCCATTGCTGGGATTACAGGCGCATACAACCATATCCATTTTATATGGCTCTGGAGACTGAAACTAAGACTTTACACATTCTTCGTAAATACTCTAAGAATCTACATCTCTGACAGGAGCTCCACAAGGAGACCAACAGTGCCAAAAATAATCTGATCAGAGAGGGCCTGCAGAGACCAATGCATCAACCACGCATTATACATGGAGAGGACCTAGACCCCCTGCTCAGATGTAAATCATAGGCTGCTCAGTGTCATGTGGGTTTCCTAGCAAGGGGAGCATCTCTGACATGGACTCAGTGGCCAGCTCTTTGATCACCTTCCCTTGAGGGGCAGCCTTCCAGGCCACAGAGAAAGACAATGCTGCCATTCCTGATGAGACCAGACAGAATAGGGTCAGATAGTAGGAGGAGGACCTCCCCTATCAATGGACTAGGGGAGAGGCATTGGGGAGAACAGGGAGACTGGGTGAGACTGGGAGGAGATGAGGAAGGGGGCTACAGCCGGGATACAAGGTAAATAAATTGATATAAATAACAGATCAATAAAATCAAAGAATATATATTTCCAGACAGAGATCATTTAAAATATTAACAAAGTATGTAATGGCAATATTAAGTTAACATGATAGCTTCAAACAGCTAAAGACCAAGATTTAAAGAAGGCTGATAATCACAAGTACTTTCCAACAGTCCTCTAGAAATGCTCTAGAAGACTTTAACACATAGCTGAGAAAAAAGTAAATCCCTACTTTTGGGCGAGTGCATATGTACAGAGAAACTGTGGCTACTGAGGTACAGACATCATTTCCTGACTTTGCTAAAACAGTAAAAGCTTTATTTAAGCCACAGTGGATAAAAGTAAGCTCTTACCACTTAAGATAAAGGCAAAGAGAGCTGAAGAGATAGCTCAAAGGTTAAGAGCACTGGGAGCTTCCAGAGGTCCTGACTTCAAGTCCCAGCAACCACATGACGGCTCATGACCATCTATAATAAGACCTGGTTCACATATATATGTAAGCAGAACACTGTATACATAATAAATAAATAAATCTTAAAAATAAATAAATAAAAGTAAGAGCCATGATAGATAAGGACAAGACTTAAGAAAACCATATATCCACAATGAAGAAAAAAAAGTCTTGCTGCAGGATCCTACCCAAATACAAATAGGATACAGAATTGGAGCTCAAAGCATACCTATTTCCATGGATAGGAGAGACAAAAAACTCATAAAGTGATCCATTCTCAAAGCCCAAGTGACTAGGACCTGTTAAACCTGGACAGTGGAAAACATACAGAGACCACCTATTTCCCTTCAAGGCAATCAACAAGGAATGAGCATTAAAGCCCATTAAGATATACAAAGATATGAGTGCCCGGGGAAAGACACATGCGATTCTCACATGGAGGAGTGTTTGGAAGGACAGAGAAACACTGAAGCAATTGGTGGCACCCGGCACCCACTGTAAGTGCACACAAAAGCAGCCGCACCCTCCAAAGAATGTTCTGCCCATGCTGTGCCAAAGACAATGGTACAAATATCAAAATCCAAACCTATCTGAATTCTTCATTTGCTTGACGCTTCAACTCAAAACACCAACAGCCTGATGGAAAGGGCACATCCACTTCAAGGTATAAACGTAACTCAAAGACATAGCACAAAGAGATGAAAACAGAGAATAAATAATCTACTGCAAGAGACAAAACAGATTCAGAATGACATGGATTTGAGAATAATCACATTTGGGAAAGAATATATAAAGAATATATTTAAATAGGTTCATGAATGATGTCATTCTTGAACAAATGATTTTAACAGATAATGTTCTTTTATCAAACGAAATGAAAGATTTCCTTAAAAGGAAAAAAAAGAAAGATTGAACTGTAGGCTTCCTATAAGATACAGAGACTAAAAGTGAAGTTGAGATCATATTCCATGCAAGTGAAAACCCACAAAGCAAAGATATCAAATATACCTTATATCTGATAAACGCCTATGGATAAAACTGTAAAAAGATACAAAAAAAGTTTTTCTCTGATAATAAATTCATCAAGAATGTATGTTAATTCTACATAGGTACTCACACACACTGAAGCAGCAAAATACATAAGACAAGTATTACAAGATTGCTAATGAAAGAGAAAATAAGGAATGGACTCTGTTAGCTTACTGTCAAATGTATAGTACAGAATGTATAGTGTACTCTAGATCGAATGGCACAAAATAAATAATATTTTTATTCTGTACAAAAAAAAAAAAAACCAGAATACATATTCATCTCAAGAGTATGCATGCACAATACTGCAGGAAAATCCCCATGGAAAACTACATACTAAATCTCAGAAAATTTAAGAAAACTGTACCACATCAAAGTGTTTTGATTGTAAAATATAAAACACAAAACAATATGACAAATTTTGGAAAATTCACAAATATATGAAAATGGACTAACATGTTGATTGTTAACTCATTGTTCATTGCTATAAAGAGGCAATCTCTTACAATGACCTACAAGGGCTGGAATCTACATTCACATGCCAAATGATGATGCTTCAACCAATGGTAAGCTGCACATAGGATGGTAATTTCATGAAATTATAATATAGCC